GCTGATCCTCCATGTGGATGGTCAAAACCCAGCCATGGTGAACACCAAAATAGCTGGGATTTATGGATGTTCATTCCGTCTACACATGGTATCTATAGGTATTGATCATTATTGATCCATAGCCATGTCTATCCCAACGTTATTCCTCCCAGTACCAAAAAAATGGCCCAGCGACCCAGGCCAAACTTCGCATGGCATTTGCTGCTGCTGCCTCCCCACGTGCTCCGATCACCTGGGCACCACGCTGGTGACCCTGAGACTGATGAATCATGTGGATTACATGGATCTATATAATGGATCATATGGATATACATATATATATATATACATATATATATACATAATATGATCATGTGGGATCTAGGTATAAATGAACATGTATGGATTATTACATGGATCTATGACGATCTATGTATATATGAAACTCTGTGGATTATATGAAGTTTAATTTTGATGCTCATGATGTCGAACAACATCCCAAGCGATTTACAATCCATACCATCCATATCATATTTACAACTGGGGCTACCTTCCATAATAGCCATAGGATTGAGTACTCATGGATAATTATCTAATATTTTTCCATCAACAAATAGGTCTAAATAAGGCATAAAATCCTTGATTTCGGGGTCATATGATTCAACTTTGAGATTCAAGTCATCTACGGGTCAAAAGGGTCAAGTCATCTACGGGTACCTCTCAAATTGTGCTGAAGTCTCGAACATTGGAGGGTTGCTGAAAATGACGGACCTTTCAGCGTTTCAGCTTCCGATCTGCCTATTTGAAGCATACCATGTTGAAACGTGGACGATGTCACGTGACCAAATTGAGAAGTCATGGGACGGCAATGCCACTGAGTTCCTAGCACACCAGCCGCCAGGCTCTGTGCACATTAGGCCTTGGAAGGATGTCTCCGATCACAGCATTTAAGCCACGTTTTTCCATGGGTTTTTCCTGTTCCAGTGCTTTTGAGACATGTTTATTCTATGGAGGTGACATGTTTTTGTCCGTCAAATACGTCAGAAATGCTGGTGATAACACCGATGTTAAGTGGCTAGACTCGGATATTGCCAGTGATATTTCTAAAATCATAGGTGGTGTTCTTGGTTGACTGTAAATGTTCCATCTTTGCTGGTGGTTATCTAAAATCATACACATCAATCATTGTAAATGTTCCATCTTTGCTGGTCACATCGTCACATCCCGCATATCGTAAGGTAATCTCTTGACAGAGCTGGTGGTTGAGCCACGCATCCAAAGAACACGAACCGATAGGGATCACTATCTCAAGAAAGAACATATTTGCCAACCGACAATCAGTTCCGTCATTCTATGCCCATCACACGTCCTTTTTTGTTGAACATTCCTTTTTGGTGGTGAATCCTTCTAGTATCCTTCTAGTGTATGTGGTTGATATTGAGATATTGACATTTTCCTGCTATAGAGGATATGATATGATCATTTTTGATCACCATTTTGCTTGTCAGTTCCCGCGGTCAATCTGGGTAATCGGTTAATCCTTCATCCCGACATAGCCATGGCTCCGAATTGGGATACCAATTCTAACCCATCAACTTTCAATTTTGGGTATTGTCTGAAACATCCATCTTGGAGACCACAGCAATCTTTCAATCCACTACATCTATACTACATCTGAATATTCCTTTATCATATTCCTGGATGAAGAGCTTTGAAGTCCCCATAGATACACACATTGATGATTCTAAAAATAAGCGATTTTCCCAATTGATATTGATTTGGGGCGGGGAATCCCAGGTGTATAGTTTGGGATGTTAAACCCAGTCTTGGGACACCAGTATAGATCTCAAATTTGATGCTTTCATCTTCATTTTCCATATTCGACATATCTTATAATTAATATTTTAGTGTTCCCCCCCCCATCATTATGTCGATTTAGGGCTGGTCATCTACCCCAGTTGGGTGATATTTACCATTATGGCTAGTCATATACCCAACTTTTTGGTGGTTATATGCCCCATTGATCCCTATATACCCTCTGGATCCTCTGGTAATTTGACATAGCCATGGAAGTAAAGGCCCATTTACTGATTTACTCATTAGAACCGGTGATTTTCCATACCGCTTAAATTACCAGATTCTAATTTCAATGGGGATAAATCTCCCGCGATATCCCCATTGTAGCAGCATTTTTGATGGTTTGAATCCACACTTTTGGCCCAAGGTGCGGATGTAACCCGCCAGCTTTTCGCAGCGTTTCTCGTCCTCCGCCTGCCGTTTTTTTTTTTGGGCTGGGAATGCCATTTTTTTTTGGCCCAAGAATGGATAGTTAGAGGGGTTATGCCAGGGGGACAAACTTATACAATCTAAATTCATGATGCCGGATTCAGTAGTTAAATCCACTCTACGTTGATCAAACCCCACTGCTGTGGGGTAGATGTCGAATGCGAAGTTTTGCAGCTTGTTGTTCCATTCTTCTGCTGTATGAACCCTGATAACCTCTCAGATGGTTTCTGATGTCTTGTCTACCGAGTCTACCTCGGTATCCACTTGATGCTCAAGACCACACCAACTTACGGTCCATTCCATCATCAAATAGGCTGTGCATATCACTCCCTTTCTCTGCCGCAAAAGGCTGTTTAAAAAGTAACAAATTGATACAAATTGGCTCCAGAAAAGGATCCTTTGTCTCTGAACATGCTTCTACAATCTTCTACAATCTTCTACATGCTTCGGGCTTCTGTCGGGCTTTCTGTTGACAAGATCCTCCACCTGCGCTTGTCGACCAGAGAGCCTCCAAAGCCTTGCTCTGCAGAAATTCTTCGTTCGAAGCATTGTGGTGCGGCTTCGATTTCTTAACTTGGCGATACTTCCTGATGAGCTGTCGAACCTTCCGGCAATCTAGATTTGTAGGGTTCGCCAGCACATCGAGGATGCGGCGCGTCTCGCTTCCACTTCCATGTAGCACCAGGAGCTATCATCGCGATGATCGCACTGCAGGCTTCAAGATGTGGATAGGCCATGGTGCCATGGTCATCCATCGTCCATGCCACATTCCCGGGATGCCGGATGCAAGCATCGTGGCTCCCAAAAGGCAACCCATCGCACAGCCAAGGGAAACGAGTTCCTTCACCAGCTTTTGGGGCTGATGTCTTCACGGATATATCCCTTGTGAGGTACACCAACGAAGCCGGCGAAGCCACCTATCCCACTCCTGCACTCTTGGGAGAATTCATCCCAGTCATAAGTAGCCATAGTATGTCATTGTGTTCACATCAAAACTATGGTTGTTTCAACAGTCTTTTTCAACCAACGTCATCATCCATCAAATCCCATCACTGAGAGCCATGTGGAGCCATGTGGAGCCCACATTCCGTGTCCGGTGTCTCGCCTGCTTCATTCCAGGAGCCCACAAAAACCGCCTCTCTCTGTCCACCGTGCCCACCGTGCCCGCTGCGCGGCACAAAGCCAGCAGGCGCAGGCGCCGCCTGGAGATGTCGATCGTGAACTTCAGATGTCGAACTGTGTCTTATTACTGTAGTATTCTCGGATCTGCATGGATCTGTTAATATTCTTGTATAATCTTGTATATATATATATACAGTAAATATATGTAAATATCATATCCGATAGTGATATCAATTTGATGCACTTCGATTTGAATTGGTCACACAAAACGCGCATTAAATCAATCAAACTCTAGTCTACTACTTTGATCCAATTTCGGAAGGGCCCAATCGAAAGCAACCTTGCAGGTGCAGCAAGTGCCATAGCGCTCGTGGCGTCTCGACTGCTTGACGATTGCCCTGTTGGGGATATCTGATATATCTATCATCTAAGTTTAGCCTTGTCACCGGGCTGATGTGAGGGGATAGCAGTAGGAGACGAAGATTTTACGTCCACATGTCAGGTACCTTGGCTTCCTGAAACCATTCTCCTTGTAGAAAGGTCAGAAAATTCACGGTCAATCTGTAGTTCCGTACGGCGCAGTACGGCTATAAGGGATGGATCATAGACATGGCCCCACTCAACAAGACAAATTACCAGGGCTGTGCACCCATGAAATTCAACATGGAACCATGGAACCCTAACATTGGCATTCAGAAGACCATCTTTGGATATCTTTGGTCCATTTTGTCCACGTTCCAAAGGGGCCGCTAAAAAGGGCTGCAAAAATCGATGGTCAAGGCGGTCAAAGAGATATGAAGAGATGAGATGTATCATGATGTATCATGATGTATCATGATGTATCAATGTATTAATTCTAAACCCTAGAATCCTAGAGGCTGTACCTGTGCTGCTGCTCTTGTTCTCTATGTTCACTTGATCCGTCAGAAGCTCAGGCCGTCTGGTTTTGCAAAACCGGTGATTTGGAATCTGGGTTGATTATGATTTTCATTGATTTTCATCATAACCTGTGACTGGGTTTCCTGGGACTTCAAACCACTGGCCTGACAACTCTAAACCGCTGCAACATGGAACAAAAAGATGAAGAACACAGGGTGACTGTCGTCGAGCACCAATAAATCATATGGTTCGTATTCATTGGTCAACCTTATTGACGACGACAGAACCCCTACGGCCCTACGAAAATCCGGACATTGCATACCTTTCAATGCGGAAATGGATGGATTCGACTTCCTATCCCGAGTAGGTCGTCATGAGATCGCCTTGGTTTTGCACAGCTGAACTTCTGAAACTTCACCGGAAACAAAGAACCGGGAACCTGAAAGTTTTACACATCCAATCCATTTTTGAATACATTTGAGTTTAGGCCCCATCTCTCCCCAACTTTTCAACTTTTTGTTTGGTCCTCTCAGCGGAGCCATCCACAATACACTTGGGAGTGGCCTGCTGAGTCAGTGGCCAGAGTTCAGGCTGCCAACGATGTAAACAGGTCAAAATCTCAAGTAAGCCAGATTGATGTCAGATGTATCCAGATATCCAAATGTCATAAGCAGGTGTCACAGCAGATCTTTGGTAGCCCAGCCGACTACGCTTGGATTTTTTTGGCCGATAAACTAAGCTGGGCTGGGATGGTCACTCGAGGGAAGGCCTACCTGGCAGGATGCAGGATGCAGCTGGACACCCAGCCGGCGAGGAATGAGAATTCAAAACCCGACTTCTCCCGATGTCATCTACTTCTAGCGTCCTTTCAGAACTTCCAGGCTGCCACGGTTGATCAAGGTTTCCCTTTCCTACAGATCCTCTCAAGCGAAATGATAGGTCTGATAGGAGAGGCTGTGAAAGGATAATCATGAATTAACCCAGCCGTGCCACATGGTTTTCATATGTTTTCATTCACAAGACCTCCGGTCATTGACGGTGTCTTTTTCGGTAGCGCCTTGCCATGAACTCGGAATCCCTTGACATATCCGAGCCCCACCGCACAAGCCAAGCCCACCTCAAGGTCGAAACAGAGCTGCTTGGGTACTGCTTGGACGTTTTTCAACTACACTAGGTGACTAAAAATGAAAGGGTAAGGGTACAATACATACAAGATGCATCAAGATGCCCAAGATGCATATCACTTTGAGAGTATCAACCAGCAATCAGGATAATGCATCCAAACAGATCCTCTAAGGGAACCCCAATCGTGGTGGTGCACAAACAATTTCTATGTTTCAGACCACAATAATGTCGCAAATGAGCGCGATACCCTGACATGGTGCGAGTGAAACCAAACCTGAGTCGCATCTTCTTGGTTTTTCGCATCAGTGAAGCTATGGGTTGTCTGCAAAAGGGGTCCCCAATGGGTTTCCCTGCTACACACCGCTTAGGACGCCCTGCCGTTGCAAAGCCCATGGCGAAAAACGCCGCGGTGCGTGGAATCTGCGGGGAATCGCGGAGACAGTTCGTGACCGAAAGGTTCCCCAAAGGCGAAGAAAAATCTGGGAGAATCAGAAACAACATGGCACTAAAATGGCACTAACATGGCACTGATAGTCCTCACGCTGCTCAAGACTCATACTCGCATGATCCATGAACTTAATCAATGCAATGCTCAGTAAATGAGCGAGAACGCCTATTGGGAAGTGTTGGGGTACATGCACGTGGCAGTAAATCATCATCCTCAATCAGACTTGGTGAAGTTTGACTAGGACACTCATCCTACAAAGATTGTCATGTCGAGTCGCTGAATCCGAGCCCATCCCGCTAGACACTTTAGTAACTTCCCCAAGTTGATAGATGGCAGGATCGTCCAAGGACTCATACCTAAAGTAGAATCCAAAATAATAATCAACAGCCATCATCCCCAGTAGTAGTGGTATGTAGTGGTGTAAGAATTTCTGATGTGATGATTTTTTCGGCCTCAAATGGTTTGATGGTGATGGCAGATCCAGGATTTTGCGCCTGAGAACGAGCTTGGAGATAGTTGGACGCCACATTTGTCGTGGCGGGTTTCGCGTTGACCTTCACCTCAGCCGTGGTGACGACTGAAGGGTGTCACATGGTGCACTGCGGGAGTGCGGAGTAGAGGCATGTACATGTTGCAAGCAATCTCAAACCTGATTCACGATCACTTGTGATGGTTTTTCCAATAAGAAATTTTGAGGCTGTTGGAATTAGTACAAATTAGTACATGTATTTATTAAATTTACCTTTTGGATGTGCTGATTTTCCATGAAGTTTCACAAATTTCATCCATGCTTTCCTTTAAGGACTACCTGACGTCTCAGAGCGCCGCCACGAATGGGCCAACGACGTCTCCTGCCTGACTGCCAGTTGTGGATCAGATTTTCATGGATACAGCAAGCCCATCCACAAGATATACCCTCTGGTAAACTAACATAGCTATTGAAAATCACCATTTTTAATGGGAAAATCCACTATTAATGGTCATTTTCCATAGCTACGTTAAATTACCAGAGGGTAACAGGAATCTGTCAGGAGAAATCAATACAACGGGGACACATCGGACACATCCGATGTGAATTTCTCTCAAAACCAGAAGAAACAACAGCTGTAGACTTGAAGCAACAATTTACATCAATTTACCCTGTTGGCTTTGCACTTCAAAACACAAAATTCTGATGTTAGATGGATCTTTCTGATGCCTCACTGCGTCTTTTTACTGAACGATGCACTTTCAAGCAGCCAAACAATGGGGGAGGATGAAGCACTAGTGTTCCCTAGAGAAACTTTGTCAGACAAACAGGAAGAACAAAACCGGTTTCAACACATTCAAAATTGACTTGAGTCGATGGAATCCAGGTACTGGAAGTCTATCATTCCCATCAAGTTGGGGATACACTTGATTAAGATATATTAAGATGATTGAAATGATCAAGTTGGTTTGTGCCAATCTGGTGTCCCAGATGTGTTCCGCATAGAATTGGCACCTCGTTAAGAGCCTTATGACTACCATCACAGTACCTACCAGGCAAGGCATGGCAAGGCCACACGGGATTGACCGATGAGATTTGACTGCAACCAGCCTCTCAAAGGTCGAAGAACGAAGTGCACAACAGATGTTTGCTCAATCTCTTCATAGGCTTGCGAGAATATCCCAGTGGTGTAATCTTGGCACATTGCACCACCAACAGGTACATCAAAAATTGATAGAAATTGGTGATGGTTCAATGGTTCAACCAAAAAAACATCGGGTCGAAAAAAACTGAGGTCTTCATCACTTGCCCCAAGCTCATGCCATCACCAAAAAAACCCGCGGTCTGGTCGAATCGTCTTCCGATTCCTTGGGGGTTCCCAATAGTTTGAACCATACTCGTTCTGTTGATTCAATCTCCATGTGTTTTTTGCTTCCTCCATTCTTTCTGATTCTAGCTTTCTTTTCGCTCAACTCGCTTAACCATGAAACATGTTTGCATATTCTCTGTCAATCTACTGGATCAGTAGGATGTTGTTTTCTAGCGCTGTTCTATATCATATACAGTCATACAGTGTATTACAATATATAATTAATGTACACACATATAATACATATATATATATAATACATATATATATAATACATATATATATAATACATATATATATAATACATATATATATATATATATATATAATATAAGATTTATATACGAATATACAAGATACATCTAGATCATCTAGTATATGCATCCTATTCGCGAATGGGATTTTATTGTCTCCCCATCGCTCACGGGAATTTCTTGGATTGCCAGCAGCGGCAGATCTTGATGTCTTTGGCCTGGCTGTTGAATCCGCCCGTGAGATAGTGACGAGCCAACGTCCCATCTAAAGATGGCCATTTTTAATAGGTAAATTGTGGTAAATTTTGACATTTGTTAAATGGCTATGGAATAGGCCATTTAAGGCAATTTTCTTGTTAAACATATGTTGAATTGGAGGGCAATTCGCCAATGCCATAATTGCTAGCATTTTGGGATGGTTAATGGCAATCCATAAACATGGTGATGACTTGGGGATGGTTAATGGCATTGGCTTTACCACCAAAAACTCAGTTCTCCTTCTGTTATTCCCAAATCGATTTTTCACTTTTGACACATCTTCCGAGTGAAAATCAGAAATTTCACCATAGCCCCGTCCCCCAGCTCGTCTAAGCCCATTCTTGAATGAACAGGGCTCAACCGGACACGATGAATCAACAGGCCTCACCAGGAGTGGCATACTGGATCAGGTGATGATACCTGGAGAATGGGTTGATCCCTCAACAAACCTGGAGCTCAGATTTCAACACATTTCGGAATTCACCAATTTGACATGGCCATTTTAAGGGATAGTTGCCTTTTTAAAGCAACATTTCTAGGCTCAATTTACCCAAGGTGTGGTTGATGATCGAATTTCATGATGGTTGACTGATGGCAAGTTCGAACTCCCAACTTTCCTCCTGGTTTGTTCAACCTCGGCGCACAACTTAGCCAAGTTGAAACCTCCCTTTTTGTGACTCATCCAGGGCCAAGGAAGGTAAAGAATCTGCGGAGTTTGCCATCTGCTTTCCACGGACAACCTGGTGAACTTCCGCTAAGACATGTGGCCATCTTTAGATAGCATGCAAAAAATCTGTTTTCAGCACAAGATCATAGGATTCTCCATATTTTTGCCAATGCAACAAAGGACAGCGCAATGAAGGAAACACTCTCAACAAATTTTTAATGGCAAAAAACATTCAGCCATTCCTTACTGAATTTTTTGAGCATTCACCCATGGTTTCCCCATGGTTTCCCAGACCACTCTGCTGCTGCACTTGTCGTAGTTCTTGAGGTTGTAATCAATCCCCGAAGGTGGCCAGGCCATGCCTGGAATTCCCAGGCAGATCAACCAACTTGGCACCCTCCAAAGTCATCAAAGAACTTGGATCAAAAAGGGGACCAAAAGGTGGCTGTTTGGGCTTAGTTTACATGGGCTTAGTTTGCTGTGATGTTGTGACTTTCGAAAAAAAAACATGAAACAGGTGGTTTGACTCATCATGTTGGAGACTGTAAGTTGACGGAGAGGATCTGCAACTGAAACGACCGACGTTCTTTGCGTTTTGGTTCCGAGAAACTTCATCAATGGCAATGGAGATACATGAGATATACATGAGACATACATTAACATGAGATGTTCAGTTGGTGGCCAACTTTTGGGGGATCTTTGTCAACAATCCTTCGTCATTCGTATCACACGTCTGCTGTGCAACGGTCAACCGGTCAACCAATCCTTGGCTATCCTGCCATCGAGATTCCTCCAGACATGTTTGACATGAAAAGCCTCTGTTCTATTCTACCCTCTGGTACATAACTATGGAAAATCACCATTTTCAATGGGAAAATCCACGAACTAAATCACCATTTTCAATAGCTATTTCGACATAACCAGAGGGTAATACATCATGCCAGGCATGCCATATGGATGCCAAATGATGCTAACATGGCTTGATGATCCATCAGCTGGAGCTCCGGGCTTTCTAAACGGCCACTTGAAGGGCTCGAAACGCTGCCGCTGAAGCCAACAGGACAAAGCCGGTCACAGGATGAATGATGGGACATGATGGGACATGATGGGACATGATGGGACATGATGGGACTTGGAGACATGGGATTAGCGTCGTCCGAAAAAGATGTGTTTATGGCGTGAACACAGCGTGAACGCAGCTTCGCTGATGCACGGTCCACTGGGTCCACTGCCCCTTTTCAGTGCACCAAGCAGGTCACAGCCCCAGTCGCATTGGCTCCCGGAATATCTCAGATATCTATCGAAATTTCTATAGATATCTCAATTTCTGCTCACATCTGCACATGTCAACATCAACTTTCAGCCTGGAATGGCGAGGCGTTTTGCGGTGCAAAACGTGCCCACATGTCATTGGACCAGCATCTTCCCATCTCTGGTGAGGTGGAACAACAGCTTTACCATGACTCCATGCTGCGGCTGATGCTGGTTTTGATCATCCAAATATGGGAGTTCATAAGAAAAGACACAGAAACACCCTATATACATATATATATATAATATAATATGATATGATATGATATAATATAATATAATATAATTAATATAATATAATATAATATAATACAATATAACATAATATAATATAATATAATATAATATATCATATTATACTATATTATACTATATTATAACACAGTATAAGTTTAAGCCAATCCTCGCAGTTGGTGGGGTGATGTGATCTGGTTAGTGTTTGCTGATCGCCTGTGCTGCCTCTGGCGTCACCTTCTGCCGTTTCCTTGGGCCTGCTTTTCCTTTCGCATCTGCCTGCGATGTGGCTGGAAGGCTGAAATCTGTGGGCCAACATAGGAATCTCAAATAGTTTACTCAACCCAATATGGTTATATATGGCTATATAAATACTTTGAATCCGATTCCAACCATCATGGTAACATTCTAAAAATCCTATTCATGAGGGTTTGACCATCCTTACTATGGCATATGGACATATGGACATGCAACCCACTTTTGACCATCATCTAGAGCTTCCTTCTAAAAATTGCTTCACGATTCCAGTGAGTCACACTTCACGATTGTATCGCCACCAGTCACTGATGAATTCGTCCATGAGAGGCTCCAATGGTCCAAAGCAATGACGACTTGGAGAACCCCAAACACTTTCTGCTACTTTCACGTGCGGCTACATGCGGCTACATGTACTTTATAATATTCACCACTTATCCATTCTTTGCCAAACACTGATTCACAGAGGTCAACTGAAATTCAGTGCTACGCCAACTCAAAAGGAAAGTGCTGAGATCACCAAGAGCACCATTGCATCCCTTTGCCACTGTTAGTTCAAGTCTTTTTGGCTTAAACTTTCCGGCCGGATCTCAATGCGTCATGTTTCATGGTGAGTCATGGTGAAATCCACATTTTCAGTGGCAAACAATCTTCGAACTTCTTCAGTTTGCCAGTTCACTTTCCAAATTCATGTCAGCTTCTCAAAATGCTTCTGTATTTCTTTCATTCTGTTTCTACTTGCCGTCTTAAAACCTTCCCTATCTTAGTCGGAAGCGTTGCATCAATATCCTTGGTGCTTCGATTCCGGTGATTCCCAGCGTGGCAATGTGGGCCTTTCGTTTTGCAGAGGCCTGCGCGCTCCGAGATGACCCTTCGATGACGCAAGTAGAATCGAAAGAAGGCGGCACCAAACACGACTGGATTCTAAACACACTTCTTGGAGAGTTTGACTTTTGATGACTTTTGTATCTATTTGGGAAGCCTTGCCATATTTTAAATAAAAATTCGGCCCTCAATACATATCTTTTTGACAGTGTAGCCCAGTGTAGCTATCAAATCATCCAACACAAAGGTGGATGAATTCTACGGATTGGCGAGAGTGGGCTTCAAGATTCATAATTTCATCCATGGTCCCCGCCCCAAAGATTGAGCCCTTGGCAAAGCCATCATCTCTGGACTGGAGAATTTTCCATGTGCTTAACATACAAAAGTGGCCACGTTTTATGGCTTTTTCTCAGGAGAGGACCCATGTGTTGAGGTGTAAACTTTCAACGGTGCCTTGGCATCTGCCTTCGCCTTGGCTTCAGGTGCTGCCTGGCAAACGATAGCTTTATCCACAGAAAATGGGGATTCCAGCCACAGAAATCCAGATTTTATATGGATTTATTATTGATGTAATGATAAGTTGATTTAGAATTGGGGAACATGTTGGACTGACCCGGAATCATCACTCATCAGCACAGGGATCAGGCACGACCACAAGATCCACAGCCGTGCCGTGGGAATTACAGTGATGTTCCTCCAAAAAATGAGCTGAACATTGACAAACAGCATCAAATAACCATCATAATAACCATCACCGAGAAATTCGCCGCATTTTTCAGCAGCTGAAATCCCGATCGCCAATACTGCCTTGGAATTTAGCAATTTTTTCAGCAAAAAGGTTGATGATGACCTGCAGTGTTATATACGTTGGTGATCATTTGTGTATGTGTACGTGCAAAGACTGCCAAGATGTTTGTATATGTGACAACTATATCTATGGATTTGAGTCAGATAATTGATTCAAAGGCCATTTAAATGGATTGCCTAATGCAAAGAACGGACTGACTGTGTGGGATTTCGACCCAAAGCCTCATACCTTTTGTCTGACCGCTCTCTCATCTGAAGATATAAACAAATTAAAATTCACAGGAAAAAAATGGACCACATCTAGACATCATTAGGCTAATGAGGGCCATGGTTGAGATGTCAACCCCAAGCCTTGGCTTTGGCCTTGCCCTTAGCCTTGGCTTTGGGTTCAGGCGCTGCCTGGGTCAAGTTCACCAAGTTCACCAAAATGTGGGGCAACATGGCAACATGGCAATACCTAATCTATGGAGATTGCCATGTCCATCCAAGTTGCCATGTGGGTATGAGTCAAAACCTTGGTACCCTAGTGAGCCCCAAATAACTGGTAAATGGATGTTCATCCCCCCAAATATAGCAAGATTGGTTTTGATACATCCCCATGTTGCCTAGATTGGAAACCGTGAAACAAAAAAACCAGCCGCCTCAGCGGTTGCTTCCGCAGGCTCAGGCTCTGCAGCCTGGTGCACCATAGTAAGATCACTAATATATGGGATGTTCTAATTGAAATGGGACGGGATGATTAAAATAGGAAAATAGTATGATGATCATTAGTTACTTAATTATCATGATAATTCATCATGAAAATTCATCATTAATTCATCATTGATTCACACAAATGGCCATTTTGGGGCCACTTTTGGGGCCAGTATGTCACCGCTGGCCTTGGCTTTGGCCTTGGCTTTCCTCTTGGCTTTGGCCTTGGCTTTGGGTTCGGGTGTCGCCTGGCGAGACACAGCGATATTCAGTGGATCCGGTGGGGCAATATTTCATGTGGCTCATGGCATCACAGCTTGAAAAATTTCGTTTTTACATGTTTTTACTACATATAAATATCACATCACTATCACATATATATATATACATATATATATATATATCAGATATATGGCATAAATACTTACAAACACGATTGATTTTGCTGGATAAGTCTTGGACTTTCCTCACTTTCCTCACTTTCCTCACTTTCCATTGCTGTGAGTCCACGAGTCCACCATGTTTGACGCTCCCACCTCTCCCACCTTTCGCCTTCAGAAATTTCCGTTTCAACAAGATTCAAAAATCAGCTGTGAACAGCTATAGCCACAGCTATATCCACACATCACAACACTTGGAAAAGATCTCACCATCCAAACAGATCACCATCGCTGGAAACGAAACCATCCTTCCTTGCCTCGGCCGCCTCGACAGTCTTAGCCTCAGCCGTTTGGGGTTCAGCCACCTTAGGGCGCAATGATCACTTGGGTGAACCATCACCATGCCATGTTCTGTTGGGTAAATGTTGGGTAAATGTTGGGTAAATGTTGGGTAAATGTTGGTAAATGATGGTAAAATACTCAAGGCCGCTGCCACTCTTCAAGGTCATGGTTGAATTCCCATCAAGGACTCAGCAGTAAAAGTGACACCACCTATATTTAAAGAACAGGAAATACACACACACACACACACATTTTTATGAGGAAACACAATAATTAAATCAATAACATGTTTACCATTTATAACAAGGATTTTGTTTTTTTAATGGCCCATGTCTGTAAGCAAACACCTGGTTTTTCGAGAAACGGTTTTACGTCGTTCCACCTGGCAGCGATTTCGGCTCTCCAAGGCTCTCCAAGGTATCAGTTATCGAGTCAAACATTGGGCCAAAAAATGGGATGCTGGCCATGTGCAAACCATGTGGCCCAAGGCCTCAACAAATAAAGTGTCACCCCATAACCATCCATAACCGACACAAACCCCAAAATTGTGTTGGTCAATTTGCACATTGTTTCGCGTTTTGACTTCAACAGCGACAAATCACCGCTTCAACATGTCTTCAGCTGAGATACTGGTTGGAAAACCGTGGGCCTGACAGGATCGTTGCTGCAAGGCAGTGAATCACTGGATCCTGTTGCCAATTGCGTAGCTAAACCCATCCTTGTGGCCTTGCGGGTCATATCCTTAGTATTTGTGGTTGTATAATAGATCCCATCCCCAAATATCGGTCATAATCCCATTCTGGTTGACATCAACATAGTTTCTTCGTGTCTCAGCTGCCGACTTTTTCAGTTTCTGCTCCAGGTTCTTTAGCTTCCCCTGACGGAAGCTAATCGTGCGAAGTGAGCCCAAAGTGAGCCCAAAGTGGTCGAAACTGGAGACATCTCCGAGTTTCATGGGTTTTCATATTAGTTTTCATATGTTTTCATATGTTTTCATGGTGACATAACATGAATGTCATTGCATTTCCAGATGGTATCAGCCCGTGATGGATTCACCAGGAAGGCGGTAGCCCGGTAGCACCTTCTTTCCTCCACAGCGTTCGATCAAATCTTGATGGCTGTAGACCTGGTCGTAGATATTTTTAGCATCCTAAACTCAATGGATTGGTTAAGGAAGAATATGGATATACATATAATGTATATATATATGCATGTATGCATGCGATGGATGGATGGATGGATGGATGGATGGATGGATGGATGGATGGATGGATGGATGGATGGATGGATGGATGGATGGATGGATGGATGGACGGATGGATGGATGGATGGATGGATGGATGTATATATGTATGTATATATTTATGTATGTATAGATGGACATAGGATAACAAACTTGTTTTGCAATGAACATACATAACATACTCGTTTTATCTCGTTTTCACAAATTCTGGGACAAACTCGATTTCAGCCACAGATCAATAAGAAAGGAACACACAATGGACACTGGACACCCAAATCTTGACACATCTGGTGGTTTGAAGGCCCCCCCTCTCTCCCACCAGCCATTGTGGATTCTACGATGTTGGTTGTTGGGATTCCCCATGGCTTCCGTTGGGGCGTCTGTCTCAATGCTGGCTACATCTTTGCACATGAAATCTGGAGACCGAATACAAACAGCTATGCAGCTATTCTTCTGTTTCTATCTGCCCTTGTCGGTTGACATATCTGTTCCGTGATAAACCACTGGATACATAGCCCGTCACAGGCTACAACATATGTCCGTCACGCACCGTTGTGATCCGGTGAGCCTCGCCCTGTTTCAGTTTCAACCCGAGGTTGGGATGTCCCACCACCTCAGCCGATGTCCCTTTTGGGAGGTCATTTGGTGAAAAATTCAACCCGGACACAAAAAATTACCAAGTTCCAAAGGTTCACTTCCTAAAGCCATTTCTCTGGATGAGAAAGACTTGCTAACTTGAGGAGTGTACCGGTAAGTCAATCCAACCAACCGAAAATATGGGAATATGATACAAGAAGACCAGCGATAATCCTGTGATGCTTGCGGTGTTGGAGGCTGCACGAATTAATCGGGCACCTTTTCTGGTCGGCAAATGGGAAAACTCATCCACCAGACACAATGAACGGTTTTTCATAGTGGCTTCAAATACTGCCAAGATTTTCTTTCATATCCATAAAACATCCCAATGGTTTTTAGCTCTTTTCTGCTGCGTCTATGGAGCCATATTTTAGACTGTTGGAACCACACATCTGGGTGATGTTTCAATCGTAAAATCTCCAACTTCTCGGTATCCAATGGTTTGATCCAAGTTGATCCTTTGATGAAATCCCCATGTCTGTTGGTTACATCATGTCACATCAGAGAATTATATCAGTGCTATATTATATTCATATTATATTCATATTATATTCATATTATGACAATATTATCATAATATCATCTTCTATTTTGTGCTGCAAGCCCATTCGTCGGCACAGTTTCAGTGTTACATAACCTTGGCCCAGCCTTGAAGAACTGTGGCTCCTGCGCGCCAGGCCGCGCTGTGATCAATCCAACCACCAACATGGTCTTGTGTTACGGTACGGTTTCGGGAAGAGGTCGACAAGGGTTAGTTGCGAAAGAGGAATGCCAGAAGCAACATGGCTACTTCTCATCACTCAACAATACCCAATCTCATCAGACATTGGAAAAACAATACCCCAGTGGATATCTGGTGGATATCTAATGATATCATATGATATCTATCCCAAAGGATCGTGCAAGTCATTCCCTGAGGCCATGGATTCCAACTGGTGGACAGAGAGTTGCCAGACTGTCGATGCACTGATTTGCAGCATATCCTGGGTAAAACCTTCAATGGAAATGACATGTAAACTGGCATGTATTCTGATGTACGAAAATCGTATTGAAATACTTTCTCACATGAATATTGCATCACATTTTTGTAGTGACATTTCAGGCACATTGAGTATGCTTTTGTATGAGTATGCGTTGAGATGAGTGGCTATTTGGCTCTAACTGCCGTGGAGGTTTCTAATTTTCATCGCTTCAACATTGGCATCACCTCAGCGGCAGGCGCAGCGGGCGCAGCCGCAGCGGGCGCAGCGGGGGCAGCTTTGGCAGCAACCCCTAGGTGCCGGGAACTGGGCCGGTGCCCAGGAGATCAAAGATGAAAAGATGTACACAAAAAACACCAAAATAAACCATTCGAACCATTAGAATTTACGATGTATCAAACATAGTATCCACTAGACAAACTACTAGACAAAGAAAACGAGAATACAAGACGTAGAAATACAATGCAACATAGATACAGTAAAATAAAGTAACCACAGGTCAAACGATACAACATATGTAGTAGAACATCAAACATGAAAAGACATACCTATAGGATAACTAAGGAACACGTATTGACTAAGTCTATATATTATATACAACGTGTACATATGATATATGTGGTCACAAATAAACATGAGGTAATATAGTGCATCTGTCAACGGTATCAAATAAAGTAGATAATGCCCAATATACACTAAAAAAAACGATGAACACATGATATACGCCAGGATCCATACTCAATTAGTTTCCATTGACAAATGCAACATGGTAAAGCATGAACTAACAATACAATACAATATTGAACAGCTCTCCAAAATGAAATGAACAATGATTCACACCATGTACCCGTGGCAAATTCAATAAATGAAAAACGCGGGCCCTTTTGAGGTACGAACTTCGGGCACGCCAGGTTCAGATTAGAGCGCCCTATGTCTTTTTGGTGGCCAAATGGAAAACTTGCGCCCCGTATACCAAATGGACCTCCCGTGCATGGCCGTGGAGGTCCTAATTTAAGTCAACAGACTCACATTTTTGAGCTGGTTCACCAGTAGAAATTCATCCAACTAGTGGTAATTTCCTCCGGTTTTTTTTAACCCAACCATACCATCATTTTGTTCCCAAAAACCATAAAACCCAAGACTTGGCAGAAGTCATGGCTTCGACGTGGCAAAGGTGGAAACCTGATATAGTTTTTCATTAGCCCACAAGATATCATGTTTGCTGGCCAATAAAAAACTACATCACCAACCAATATATGGGTTATTAGTGGTTAGGCCCAACCAAGATCTTATGTTTTGATGATAAGAATTCACCAACCTGACGCTTAACTCCCTGGGTTTCCAACTTGCCGGCGCCTCGGCAGGTTTGTTGAATCCGGTTTCACCCCAACTGTGTCCACAAAAACGCGTATCGGACAATGTATCTTAATCATTTAATGTATCTTAATATATCTTATGTGCTTCTGTAGTAAAACAGGCTGGTTAAACGTACAGTTTGAAGGTCATATGTCACAGTCATGGTCCTGCCGCTACCAAATATCACTGGGCTGATCCAGCTACCTGAAGTAAAAATTGTGGTTTTTACTGGGGCATGGGCCCATTTCTTGTCGTTCAGTGGAGATAGGCCCAACCTCTGTTGGGATTATGGAGCCCCACTTGACCGACCCACCTTCTTCGCAGGCTCCTTCTTCGCAGGCTCCTCCGCAGGCGCCTTCTGCTCCTGGTCGCAGGTGACGTCTCAAGTCCGGAGCTACATCACAAACAAATGGGGATGGGTCAAAACCTTGTACCCCTGGTGAACATCAAAATAGCTGGTAAATGGATGTTCATCCCACTAAAAATGGTATTAATAGGTATTGATCGATACCCAAATGAATACAAGTGATATAAAGACCAAAAATACCAGTTTTTTTTCCCCAGTGCCGACAATCATTCATGCTTTTCACGTTCAACTCACACATTTCAATCAATGTCTGAAGTTCTGTGGTTTTCCAGGTGCTAAATTCAAACTCAACATACGGTACAGTACCCTAAATGCACTGGTCACAATTTTCTCTGTTACATTGCCATAATTGGGGGTGATTACGCTTACCCCCCACTACTCCTTTTCAGGTCGGCCCATCCATGATTCATTGGTTGAACCACGGTTTTTCATGGCGAACTCTCAACTTTTCTGATTAAATATCGCCATGTGTGATGCACACATGGTTAAATCATGTTTTATATATATATATATTTTAAATACCCATTAAACACCCATTAAATATCCATTAAATATCCATTAAAGTTTGAGCTGGTGAAATATGCCTATTTATGGCCTAAGGCCTAGGCTAGGCTGATCAGTCCTTTGCGGCCTCCTCTTCGGTGACCTCATCGAGGGGAGTAATCACCATTGGATGATAAGGTCACTAATATCAATAAGATATAATTTGAATCCGTCCTAGTCCTAAAAACTGTAACAATCAAAAAAAGGATTTCTTTATATTTTGGGCGAACGTTGTTTTGAGTGTTTTCCTTCGTGCCACAAACCGTGCTTTTCGGTGCTTTCCCTCGTGCAACAAATCGTGCTCTAGATCGTGCTTTTTGGTGCTCTTCCTCCTGCCAAAAATCGTGCTTTTTGGTGCTCTCCTTCGTGCCAAAAATCATGCTCTAGATCGTGCTCGCTGTTACAGCTATTAGGCTTGTGTCAAGATATAATGTGACAATATGAAATTAATAACCATGCATAATCAATAATCATTGATCATCATTGATGATCATTAGATAATACTAAGCTGGTTAAAAGATATGGGATGATTCTCATGGGATGATTATAACAATGGGATGGTGATCATCCATCTGATATCATCACTGCATGAGATTATTTTAGTGATAATAGTAGTGAGAATAATAACAAAGTGACGATAACACTACTAAAAATAATAGTGAACACAAGAATAATGATGATGACTATGAACATTGTTATGATTGTTGTTGGTGACTATAATACTCATAGGGATGATAACAATAGTAGAAATAATTAAAACTACTGCCATTATTGTTTTTGTTGATATTACTATTATCACAATGATAATAACCATCCTCCTCCTCCTCCTCATCATCATCATCATCATCATCACTATTCTTGTTATCATTGGTACTCTTGAGGCTTGTTGTTGTCTCTGTTATGACGCATGTATATAACATTATATATCACAACCTTGCATGTATATGTATATATATATATTGAATCCCAACATCAACTTGCTTCAACAACCGGTGAATCCTGGGCACCATTTGCACATCGAAAATCAACTCATGGCGACAGAATCACCAGCCAATGCAAGACTGGATGGGGAATGAAACTTGAAAGGATAAGATTCAGCTGTTTTCGAACTCAGTTCAAACCGGAAGACCAATTGCAACCTATGTAAGTTGGAAGAATGAATCCCTCATTGCCCAGTGGATATAGAGTCGCACATCAAACAAATCAACATTTCGCTATCAGAATTCCGATACTCAAAACTGGCATGGACTCAAAAATTCTTTGACACATTGCCTCTTGGACATCATTTTGAGATCCGCACGGGTTGGAAGACTTTGGTCCTAGGCCAAAGTTTCTGGCGCCATAGGTGTGGCCCCATTTGTAAACTTGGGCAACACATGATTTTCAAAACCGGGATGACTGATGAAACCATTGGCTATTCACTATGTTTGGCTCGTTACGTTCAGTTTGTTTTGTCGATACCATCATGTTAAACCCCGCGTCCCCACTGTCTCCGAGTCTCCTCGTCAACGTCTGCTCCAGCAACCTCAGCTTGGCCTGCGGAAGCAAAATCTATCCTTTTTACTGACAAAGCATGACATAGCTGCTATAGCCTATAGCTATGAAAAATCCATGGTTCCCTGGAGAAACTTATCTGCAAAAAAAAGGGCTTTTCCATTGCGACCACGGGGGAACAAACATCTCCACCATGAAGATTCGACAAATAGAAATCCTCTGCTTCAAAAAGGCAGGAACAAAGCATGACATATTGGCGTGTAACTTGACATAAACTGAACATCTGTACTGACTTACATTCTGACATTTCATTCCCACGGAGTTCTGTGAGGCGTTGCATTGCGTTGCTTTCTAATCTCCAAACACTTCTCCCATTCGCGGAAAACGGCAGTGGCAGGGGCACAGTACTTACCTCTATCCCCACCGGTCTTGTCGTCTTGTCGTGCGTTCATGCATTGCATGAGATGAGGGTACGCGGCTCACAAGATTTCAAACGGGAAAGTATAGGAAAGTGCATGGTCCTTTTGAATCAATGCCACATTCCATCTGTTTCTGCGAGTTTCTTGAGCCTTAACCCAATAATATTGCTTGTAGGGTTCAAAATGATTGCATCTTTTCTGGTTATATCCTGACAGGTGTCGAAAAAAAAATTACGCCCTACCATTGCAATGGGGATATCACCGCAATCCTCTAATCTTTCCAGCCATCTCTTCTCCTGTTGATTCTTCCCATATCCATATGCTCCATGGCCGTAGCAAAGCACCTCTGCTGACACAGAATCACTACATTCATGGGACACGACGACCATTTTATGGCCAATCTTAGGCAGCCACAGAGCCGACTAAGCGAAACTTACCCGAAACTTAGGGTTGGATATCCGCATGGAAAAACCATGATGTTTCCCAAATTGGGGTACCCATGGGTACCATGATCCCATATAGTTGATGGTTGTTCCAGTTGTTCCATGATTTGGGGATATCGTATAACCAAAAAGATAGAAAAGTCAGCATCAAACTGAAGAAAGACAGCATTTTTACCTCAGTCTCCGAAGTTCCGAAAAAAATCCACCTTGTTCCTGCGACATTTCTGCACCAGCTCCTCATGACTGTAGACCTGCCAAAAATGGGGTTGGTGAATTGGTCTATAGTTGGATTCTATAGCCTATAGCTATACCAACTGTTGAAATCTGTTGAAAATCATGACATTTCCATACATTTCCCACCTTTCACAGAGTCATTTTCTGTGAAAAACTGGGATTAGATGTTGCTATGATAATCCCAAATCAACCAGGTGGGGTAATAACCCGAACCATAAACTACAGATATACTGAAATGGCTCAAATGGCTGAACTAACCATGGCGAAATTAAACATAGATTGACATAGACCAATTGGGATGCCAACTTGATTTTTGGACATCAAAATAGGTAGACGAGGCTAGAATTTTGCATAGACATATGCGACTGTCTACAGATTCCAACACTGATTCCCCATCTCAATCTGTCGAAAACATTAGAGCCGAATGTGCCTCAGTTACCATCTGATGTTACATCACTACCCTCTGGTAAACTAACATAGCTATTGAACATGGTCATAGAAATAGTGAGTTTTCCCATTAAACATGGATAAAATGGTGATTTTCCCATCAGTTTTTTGTATGTTTACCAGAGGGTACTGTCCCTTCCTTGGTTCAACGGTGTCGGTGAGTGATTTCTCATGGAGTCACCGAGTCACCTGATCCTTCTTCAGGCTCAAACCCAGGTGGGGATGGTCCACGACCTCGAAGCTGAGTCTCTTTTTGGATGAACAAAATATGTCTTTAAAAAATAGGACACAAACACACACACACATACACACATATATATATATATACATACAGTATATGTATATATATATATACAGTATATATATATGTATATGTATATATATATATGATTAATTATATGTAATATACCGATATGTATATGCATGATGTTTCAATCTGATATTTGTTGGTTCTTGATCCTGGATCCTCGGCATGCGATGGATCGATAGATGATCTGGTGGCTTCCCCGTCTCGAAAGATGCCCAGAACTGGGGAAAGTCTTGAAGCTAGCTATATCTCAATGGATTGGTTTAAGGGAAAATCTACAGGAAACCATAGTTTTTACCATCTAATATAGGGGTTTCCTGTAAATTTTCCCATCATCCAATTCTATGAATATCATGCTATGCTGCTATATCTAGATATGATATGATATGATATTGGTGAAATATACCATGTCTATCCGAGTCTATCCCATAACATCCCCATATGTTGTTGCTACATGTTGCTACATGTTGCTACCAAACCTGGTGAAACAATGTGAAACATCACCCTGAGGTCCCCGAGCCCGGAAGAACTTGGCCTCGCTTAACCGAAAGGGATTTGACCAAGAAAGAAAAGGGATACAACAGGGAGAATCGAGAAACACCCACACACAGATATTTCCCTTTTGAATGAGCAATTTTGGTCGACCAGGTCTCCAATTCAGGTCCTGAGATGCACTGACCTCATCTGATTTCAAGCTGGAGCTTGAGGATTTTTTGAATCACCGGGATAGGTTTTACTAGATCTCATCCTAAGCACTGGCCACAATCTCCATGGTGGTTTGAAACTATGCAAAAACTCTGCCAAGGTCAATTGCACATCATCCCATTATGGAAGGATAGATAATTGCAGTAGTACAAACTATCAGTTATCAAGTTCGTCTATCTTGGCTGAGAAACATGTTTCTCACACCGAGATTCCAAATATCGTGGTCGTTGTATTCCTTAACCAGTGGAAGTCGATGCGGTTCGAATTTCATGGTCACCTTGTTCCACGTGGCCGTTTCACAGTGTCCTCAAAGTATATGTAAATTTGGGCAACTGCATATCTCGAGGGAGCGAACATCAACAATAGTTACAATAGTTGTAACCACCAACGAGTCTTGATATACCCTCTGGTCATAGCTATTGAGAAGTGGATTTACCCATTAAAAATGGTGATTTTCCATAGTTTTTTGTATGTTTACCAGAGGGTATATCTGACGTGTCACGATGAATGCCACACTGATGAGTTTCTGGTCAGTCGACTCTTCAAATCCAACCCACTGTCGTTGTAGAGATCCATGGAAAGTGGCGGTTCATCACAGCAGTTTCTCAGCAAAACCTGGTTTTGTATCGTTATTTTAGTCCCACTATCTTGGTACCAAACTATGATAATTCTAGGTACCAAACTATGATTCGTATGATTACCCGATATTAAGATATATTAAGATGTGGGTAAAACAACAATAAACCAACGATGTGGGAATGGTTTATGCCACCTATAAACATGGTGACTGGGGGATGGTTTATGATTTATGGCATTGTTTTACCCACTTTATTGTTGTTATTTGCATATTTGCATCATCATTTTAGGTTTCACGGGTTTCACCGTGGTACCAAATATGACACCTTTGATGTGTGAGACTCCGAAGGGCGCTGGGCTGGGCACCCGACCGCGCCATTGCCTGGCCGCTAAAACGAAACATGGCAGGGTTCATGAAATGTGTGTATGTAATATATACACACATATTATTATAAAAACCATATTTATATGTATATGTAATGTGTGTATGTATGCATATATATAATTATATGTTATATTGTAGTATGATGTAGTATGATATACCTCATGTTGATTAAATAAACCAATATCAATGAACCCTCATTGTAGAATCGGGGACGGCACCACCCTGAGAAAATCATAATTTGATACAATTTGCTGAAATGGAACCCTCTAAATCAAACAACCCAGGGGTTTGTTGACCAGAATTGACATTGATGAACGATGGCCAATACAAACGTTCAGCTTGACCACTCAACTTGAGAATCATTAAACCTGGTGGATGAAGCATCAAACCCACACGTATGACAATCAATTGCATCACAAATATAGCCGCAAATAAGCATGCTTGAAACTACCAACCAGCACCAAAACCGAACGAAACACCAAACACACCTTTCAGTGTGCCGTTTCAGTTTGCAGTTCTGGCATTTTGACCCATGACCCCTGGCTATCCTCAAGTTGTGGGGAAGGACATATTGGGAAACCATAAATCTGGGAGTGATCACTGTCTGGGTCTGCACCTTTCTAGATTAGTTGGCTTTGGATAATTTCACTATTTGCATGCCCAAATTCAGTGGTGGACCAATCCAAACATGACTTTCGGGCTTCAAAATTTCAGACACCGAAAGATGTCTGTCCCCTGACTCTTCTTAAGCTAAAACCTAATTTTCATCCATTCCTGACCTGTAGCCATCTGCCATGCTTTGCCGTGCCCCTGTGCTTCCCTTCACGCCCCAAAAGGGTGGCGCCCGTGGCGCCTGTAGCCGGAGCCTCCTACACGATACTTTTGGGAAACAAAGGCTTGGGGCGGTTTGGGATCCATTCCAGTTTTCCATACATCTAAAATCATAACCATCATTAAAACCATCATCCCAACCATCATTTAGCGGTTGCCCACTAGTAGAGTACCCTTCATCGGAAAAGGAGAATGAGTGACACGACATGCTGGGTGGCTGAGCCAAGCCAGCCAATCTCCTCTGATGGACCGGAAGCCGCTTCCTGAGAGGGCGAGAAAGTAAGGGCTGAAGGTTCGATGCTTACCCTTTTGTAAGAGAACTCCCAAACCTGAGGGTGGTGGCGTACCAACGACTATTTGGATAGAAGCAGCACACATGTGGATAGAGCCAACAAACTCGGGTATAATCAGTTTTTGTAGCTAAATCATTTCAGCTACAGCCATATCGGGCCCAAAGGCATAGATTTTCCCAACAAGTTGGACATCTCAACTACTGTAAGTCAATGCATGAATAGCAAGATTCCGTAGCAATAAGCAAAAACACGGGGGCAGAAAGCAGAAAACGTGCTACCCCAAAACCTACCCCATGGGTATTTGATCAGCAAACAAATCATCCTCGCCGTTTTGTATACGTAGTTTATCCAATGGTCAAGGAATTGTCACTAGAGGTCATCATATACTTTTTTCTGATGGATCACTGGGGGTGTTTTTTGCTCCGCAAAAAAGGCAACCACTGTGACTGCGCCTCTTGCGGTCCACCTGGCTGCCAAAAACACAACTGGAGATTTCTCAGCAACCAACAGTTGTTTTTTTCGAAATGCTTTGGGTATTTGGCCAATACACATTGCTTTTTAATTGATTGTTGCAACATAACTGGCTAGAAAGGCCGATTTTCACGGAACATCGTGTCGAAACGTAGACTATGAAAAATTTCTCACAGCTTTCTGAGAGCTGAACCCTTTAGATCCAAAGATTGCGACCCTGATCTCCATTCGATCCTACGATCGTCCCATGCTGTTCCTTGGTTCATCCCACAAAACTGGGCCGCTCCAAATGGGTTGAAGTGGACATCAAAAACTCCGCCCTTAACAAGGTAGATCTTCAGCCAAAGAGATCCTCCATGAATCTATATAATCTATGAATATGGTTCACACAATTTCACACATCAGATGTTAATCATATACCACTCACCAAACACCCAGTTAAATCAATTCAATCACTTCACCTGCTGCAGCGGCCGGCGCGGCTTGAGCGACGTCGCCCATGACGCTGACCCGCTTTCTGTTTCGGGGAACGTTTGAAATCCAATGATGTAGCCATGCAGCCACCGATAGTGGCATATTGGATCATATTGGATCATATTTCAATGGGAATTCCAGGATCCTAAGGATCCTAAAATGGAGGTACGTAAACGTACCATATAGGTTCCTGAGATGGACATTGAATATTGGATCACATTGGCAAGATGATGGTATATTGTAAGAAAAGAATCCAGGCAGAAATATAATGGCATAGTGACATAATGTTGGAGTTGCATGTTTTAGACTGTCCATCCAACATTCTCCAACGTACTGGCAACACTAGTAATTATTCTCACTGATGATAGTATGCTCACTGATGATTTGCGAACATAAAGTACTATCAAATGGCTATGCCAGCCTGACATCCTGGAACCAGTCAGTGGCTGGTAGATAGTATTTCAAAATGGCGTCATGGTGTTTGGATGTTGATGTCCAATACATTTCAGAGAAACAGCTTCAGTGGCACTGGTGGATATGGATGGATTGTGTTGGATCATTCGTTTGCTCTGTGACTGACCTTGTGTCTAAGGCTGAGGGCTGCGTATCATTCTTTTCTGAGACAAAAACAATATGAGTCAACGCATGCCCTTTTGCAGACAGTGTTTCAAACACGGGGACAGTCACAATAGTACACAATAAATCATAGTATTATATCCGCCGACCCCGGCCTTGGCCAAGGCAGGGGCGGCGCCTGGGACCACCGCAGGTGTGGAACTTCTCCTTCTTCGCTTTCCACGGTCAAACCCATCTTGCAGCCATCAAGCCACATCAATAGCTTCTTATGGCCACTCTTGCAGGCAACAGGCACCCCAGCCAACATGCACCCCAGGGCCACACATCAATGGCTTCTTATGGGCGTCCAAGTCTGCCCTTTGCTTCTTATGGGCGTCCAAGTCTGCCGTTTGCCAGCCCTAAAACCCTCCAAACCCTTAAAACGCTCCAAGCCCTCCAAACCCTTAAAACCCTCCAAACCCTTAAAAACCGTAAAACCCTTAAAACGTTGACTTGGCATGCTTCATCCTGCAGCCAACAGCCACCCCGCGCCACACATCAATGGCTTCTTATGGCCACTCTTGCAGCCATCCGGTTCTTATGGCCACTCTTGCAGGCAACAGGCACCCGAGCCAACATGCACCCCAGGGCCACACATCAATGGCTTCTTATGGGCGTCCAAGTCTGCCCTTTGCCAGCCCTAAAACCCTCCAAACTTCACCCTGCAGCCAACAGCCACCCCGCGCCACACATCAATGGCTTCTTATGGCCACTCCTGCAGCCGCTTCTTATGGCCACTCTTGCAGGTTGACTTGGCATGCTTCATAATCCTGCAAACCAACCGCCACCCCCGGCCAACACATCCATGGCTCTTATGGCCACTCTTCAGCTAACCGGCAACCCACAGGGCCCACATCATGGCTCTTATAGGGGCGTTCCCAGTCCTGCCGTTTGCCAGCCCTAAAACCATCCAAACCCTCCAAACCCTTAAAACCCTCCAAACCCTTAGAAACCTTAAAACCCTTAAAACGTTGACTTGGCATGTTTCATCCTGCAGCCAACAGCCACCCCGAGGCCACACATCAATGGCTTCTTATGGCCACTCTTGCAGCCAACAGGCACCCCAAGGCCACACATCAATGGCTTCTTATGGGCGTCCAAGTCTGGCGTCTGCCAGCCCTTAAACGCTTAAAACCCTCCAAACCCTTAAAACCCTCCAAACTCTTAAAACCCTCCAACCCTTAAAAATCTAAAACGCTTCAAGCGCTGACTTGGCATGCTTCATCCTGCAGCCAACAGCCACCCCGAGGCCACACATCAATGGCTTCTTATGGCCACTCTTGCATCCAACCGGCAACCCCTGGCCACACATCAATGGCTTCTTAATTGGCGTCCAAGTCTGGCCGTTTGCCAGCCCTAAAAACCTCCAAACGCTCCAAACCCTCCAAACCCTTAAAACCCTCCAAACCCTTAAAAACCGTAAAACCCTTAAAACGTTGACTTGGCATGCTTCATCCTGCAGCCAACAGCCCCGCGCCACACATCAATGGCTTCTTATGGCCACTCTTGCAGCCATCCGGTTCTTATGGCCACTCTTGCAGGCAACAGGCACCCCAGCCAACATGCACCCCAGGGCCACACATCAATGGCTTCTTATGGGCGTCCAAGTCTGCCCTTTGCCAGCCCTAAAACCCTCCAAACGCTCCAAACCCTCCAAACCCTTAAAACCCTCCAAACCCTTAAAAACCGTAAAACCCTTAAAACGTTGACTTGGCATGCTTCATCCTGCAGCCAACAGCCCCCCCGCGCCACACATCAATGGCTTCTTATGGCCACTCTTGCAGCCATCCGGTTCTTATGGCCACTCTTGCAGGCAACAGGCACCCCAGCCAACATGCACCCCAGGGCCACACATCAATGGCTTCTTATGGGCGTCCAAGTCTGCCCTTTGCTTCTTATGGGCGTCCAAGTCTGCCGTTTGCCAGCCCTAAAACCCTCCAAACCCTTAAAACGCTCCAAGCCCTCCAAACCCTTAAAACCCTCCAAACCCTTAAAAACCGTAAAACCCTTAAAACGTTGACTTGGCATGCTTCATCCTGCAGCCAACAGCCACCCCGCGCCACACATCAATGGCTTCTTATGGCCACTCTTGCAGCCATCCGGTTCTTATGGCCACTCTTGCAGGCAACAGGCACCCCAGCCAACATGCACCCCAGGGCCACACATCAATGGCTTCTTATGGGCGTCCAAGTCTGCCGTTTGCCAGCCCTAAAACCCTCCAAACGCTCCAAACCCTCCAAACCCTTAAAACCCTCCAAACCCTTAAAACCCTCCAAACCCTTAAAACGTTGCCTTGGCATGCTTCATCCTGCAACCAACAGCCACCCCGCGCCACACATCAATGGCTTCTTATGGCCACTCTTGCAGCTAACCGGCACCCCAGGGCCACACATCAATGGCTTCTTCTGGGCGTCCAAGTCTGCCGTTTGCCAGCCCTAAAACCCTCCAAACGCTCCAAACCCTCCAAACCCTTAAAACCCTCCAAACCCTTAAAAACCGTAAAACCCTTAAAACGTTGACTTGGCATGCTTCATCCTGCAACCAACAGCCACCCCGCGCCACACATCAATGGCTTCTTATGGCCACTCTTGCAGCTAACCGGCACCCCAGGGCCACACATCAATGGCTTCTTATGGGCGTCCAAGTCTGCCGTTTGCCAGCCCTAAAACCCTCCAAACCCTTAAAACGCTCCAAACCCTCCAAACCCTTAAAACCCTCCAAACCCTTAAAAACCGTAAAACCCTTAAAACGTTGACTTGGCATGCTTCATCCTGCAGCCAACAGCCACCCCGCGCCACACATCAATGGCTTCTTATGGCCACTCTTGCAGCCAACCGGCACCCCAGGGCCACACATCAATGGCTTCTTATGGGCGTCCAAGTCTGCCTTTGCCAGCCCTAAAACCCTCCAAACCCTTAAAACGCTCCAAACCCTCCAAACCCTTAAAACCCTCCAAACCCTTAAAAACCGTAAAACCCTTAAAACGTTGCCTTGGCATGCTTCATCCTGCAACCAACAGCCACCCCGCGCCACACATCAATGGCTTCTTATGGCCACTCTTGCAGCTAACCGGCACCCCAGGGCCACACATCAATGGCTTCTTATGGGCGTCCAAGTCTGCCGTTTGCCAGCCCTAAAACCCTCCAAACCCTTAAAACGCTCCAAACCCTCCAAACCCTTAAAACCCTCCAAATGTTTAGGCCTAGCCGTTTGCTGGGCTTCTTGCGTGGCTCTATGTCTGCGCACTTCTTCCTCCACCCTTGCAACGGGGTCGGCGGCACCAGGGCGTTAGCCCATTTATATATGATGTAATCAAAGGAACCAAAATTGAGGGGTCCTGATCCATTTCCCAACCTGGGTCCCAAAAAACCCACTGGGGGCAATCTCAGATCGAAATGCACAGAAATGCGGGATATAAATTCATAAGACAACCAATCACCCTCTATTCAGGTGATGACAATTGCGACAAAATTAACCAACAAATAGACCAAATTAGAAACCTCTTCACAAACTCTGACCAAGGTCTTAAGTATGCATCCGCAAACTGCTGCTGTTACTCCTGATAACAATGATTACAATCATCGCACGGTGTTTGGAAACAAAAGCGAAAACAATCGAAAACATGTAGTATTTGATGGCATTTGAAAAAAGGGGGTTATGGTCAATATTTCATGAATACTCCATGAATCATCCTGTCCCCCTAATATTAAACACCATCATTGTATGGTCCCAAATATGTGGTTTCATCCCCTACATCCACTATGGTTTCTGGGGTGTGCTTAATGTTAGGGGCATGGGATTATTATACTTGGTGAGATCTAAACCGTTATATCCCCATGAAAATCTACCATTCACTCACCATGTTTGGACGGTGAAACAGTTAAACTATTGTTCAAAATGAAACCAGCTTCAACCTCATTAAACCATTAAATCAAATCCTCACTAAATCAAAAAAAAACATTCATATCCCATTCATATCACCAAAAATATCACCCTTCCAACTCTGAGCTCCAGAACTGTAGCCAGCTTCACTACCCACCTCGGCACGTCCTGGTTGAAAGATGGAGGAAACGTCCGACTACCCTGATCTACAAATCGATTTGTTAGTTTACAGGGGACACTCCCCCAAGCAAAACATCAACCCTGGTTGAGTATTGGATGAAGTAGAAAATATTGGGCTCGACGACTAGGGGGGTATTGAATATTAGTGGGATGGGTCTGGATTGTGGATGTATTGTCCAACGAAGAAACCATGGCACAAGGTTTCAGCCATCAAAATTGGACTCTCTTATATGAAAATATATGAACACATATTGGCAACGAGTCAAAGTCCTGGTATCCTGGTAGAGAGTACATACCAGGTGAACGTCAATAGCTGATAAATGCATGTTCATCCCTCTAAAACGAAGTTT